GTCTATAATCGATTATTTATTCATCAATTGTTGTTCATAAACTCTTAAATATGTATATGAGTTGTTAAATTCATAAACCCGTTACATCTGTATATGCAAATACTACTGAGTTACAGACGTATACATGTGTAAATCTGCGTAGGTAGATTTGCTAAATCAATAAATTGCTTCATCTAAATTTATTCATCGAGCCATAAAATTCTCTTTCTTTAACGTTACGTTAAACAATCTAAAATTAAATTAATCATACGCAAAATCAGTTAATAAATAAACTTCTATGTATTTTATTAACATACTTCACATGTTACGTAATCTTTTAACGATTAATTAACACGTACCTATACTTCGATGCAATATACCTATGTGAATTTCATTAGGTCTGTATATGTATTTATTAGAAAACTGCACACTCTTCTTTTCTCTTTGTCTCTTTCTTTTATGTTTTTTTATCAAGAAAATCAAGCAGGCAAAATTATATACTAAAGAAGATTTTCATTGATAAAGAGCATAAAACGCGTTAAGATATACAGCAAACCTTGGAATTTATCGGAAGTTATACGAAACGCAGATTATTATCGATGAAATAAACGACGATGATCGACATTGGAAGTGTCATCGTCATTTATCTCATCGACCGTGAAGTGAAAGTCAAAATGTATCTCCATCTTTGATTCCGTAATGTACCGTTTATTACCGTATTTCCCTCAGCCATTCACATTCTTCTTGAATAAAATTACCGACGACGAGATCATAAACGGATAATTGATAAAACATTCAGCGCTCGCGAAGTACGATTCCTTTTTTTAGAGTTTTTTTATGCCATTCATGTATTAATATTATAATATATTAATATATCTATTCACTGATGAGATATGAATATATATAGATGTATTTTTCTTGTTTCTGTTTTTTTATAATATTTGTTTGCCGCTTGCTGTTGTGTATATTACGCATCTCGTCTTGATGAAGTGAACGACCAGGTTCACGAAACGTTGGCATTATCACATATCTTTAAAGATAATATTATTTTTAACTTCACTTTTTTAATACAATGTTTATCAAGTAATCGAGCGAATTAAATAATTATCAGAATGATATATTTTTATCAGTTTCATGATGTTACGAGAAAAAATTAAAATGATTTATAATTTATCATGATAGAAGATATCATGATAGAAGATAAAAGTAAATTAAAATAAAGTAAAATAAACATCAAAGATAAAACTAAAAAAGTGAACATCATAAATTTGTAAAATCAAAATTATAATGAAATAAAATTAAAAAAATAAAATTATTATACACTAACAAAAATAAGTTTAATAAATAAACTTCTACGTATTTTATTAATATACTTATTAATATACTTCTATTATTTTATTAACATACTTTATATGTTACGTAATCTATTAACGATTAATTAATACATACCTATACTTCGATGCAATATACTATGTGAATTTCATTAGGTCTGTATACATCATAGAAATTGCACATTCTATATACTTTATGATTTCAATACTGATGAAGTCAACGATTAAGTATTTGTATTAACAATACTAAATAATAAGAAAACATTCGAGAAATTAAATTGAAATCTGTGATGCAATTTTAACAAATTTATCATTGACATATTACATATTTAAGTCTTGATTTTTATTTTATTCACTTCATATCAACAAACAGTAATGAAAACAGATATAACAAATATAAAGATAACAAATAAAAATTAAGATAAGAAATAGAAGATAAAATAAAATAATTTGATGTAAACTTATGTCTATAAATAATAAAATGATACTTTGCGAATATATAAGTTTCTTAAAATTTTGTTCTCAAACTGAATAACTTTTCATTATTTGTTAAACTAAAAGAGAATATTTCTAATGAAATTGATGTATCCTTTCTTAAAATTAGTGTTCAATATATACAACATAATAATTTGAAAAATAAAATCGAAGCAATATACTTTTATACATTACTAATTTTTCATCTTATTCAATTCATTCTAACAAATCCTAACTTCAGTAAAAAAATACTTTCAAATATCATTTCATTTATTTTTCAAAAGTAATCCCATACAAAACAGAATTAATACAAAATATATAGGGTGTCTTTTCATTAATATTTCATAGAGTGAAAGAGGATGAAATTTTGAACAGAAAGTTCCTTCACAAGTTTTGGGTCAGATCATTATTTACTAATTAGGATATTATTAACGATTAAAATTGATTAACCAGAGAGCACGCAATCGGAGTATGCAAAAGCATGAGACTTCTCGCGCTTGCTATGCATTCTCCCGATTGAAAATTTATTTTAATTTTTTATATTAATTAATAAGTAAGTCAATAAGTCAATAAAAGGATAAATAAATAAGTATATAAATAAATAAATAAAATAAAATCTAATATAAAATAAAATATCTATCCAACATAAAATAAATATCTATTTAAAATGAAATGGTTTTATTTTATTTTATTTGTTTATTTAATTATTCATTTACTTATTTATTTATTTATTTATTCACCCTTATATTGATTTATTGATTTACTTATTAATTAATTTGAAGAATTAAAATAAATTTTCAATCGGGAGAATGTATAGCAAGCGCGAGAAATCTCATGGCATGTTATGCTTCTGCATTGATTTCAAGTAATCGTCAATAATTGGATAAATAATGATTTGAATCAAAACTTGTAAAGGAATTTTCAATTCAAAATTTCATCTCCTTTCACTCTCCGAAATATTAATGAAAAGATACAGGATACTTTGTATAAAGGTACATATTTCAATCTTTCAATTGCACTTTTAATATGATCATGAAAGCTTGTTATATACATTTTTACGGATTACATAAGTAATTCAATTGTATATAACTATATATATGTATATGTGCGTTACGTACATGTGCAAACATACAACATACATAGCAAAGATTCACTGATTTACATCGTCCACAATACCAACGCCGATTGACCTTATGTAAGATGCGTTAAGGAAAACTACTACTGACTTGCGTCATTCTCTTTTTTTTTATTCGTTAAATGTAAAACAAGAACAGAGCAACACTGATAGTGTTATTTTGACATCCACAATGCTTGAAAATATTTACTTTACTAAGATTACTAATATATTACGAGATAGGAGCTGTGTGTGCTGCGACGAGTAATATGCTCATGTTAGCAGCATTGTTCTGTCAGTAACATTTTATCAAACGCTTCAAAAGAAATTGTAGGAAGATCTTCTAATAACACCTATTTATGCCATGGAATATTGGTGAATACTATTATCAATAGTAATCAATGATCAGCAATTATTATTTTTTTTTAAATTTTAATTTTTTTAAAAGAAATGGTATTACACATGCCGCCTGTTCCATTAATTGGATCCGCGATGTCGCTTCTATTCCGTCAAATGACATTTTTTTATTTCATGTTGAAGATATACAATTTCAATCCAGACACAAAGTATTATGGATTGTACATCACGACAACTCCAGTCTTCTTACTTCGCGATCTCGAACTCATACTTACTTACACTTAAAACTGTTCTTGTTAAAAATTTCGATGAATTTCCAAATCGTTTTGGTTTTGCCGACGTTATTGAGTCTTTATTAAAGAAAAATTTGTTTTCTCTTCGTGGAGAAAAATGGCGGAATGTGAGGAATCTGTTGAATCCCTCTTTTATTTCCAGCAAGATGAAAATAATGTTCGCGTCGATGATGCGGAATGTGCTGTGGATTTCGTAAAATTTATACCGACAGCGAATGAAGAAAGTATATAAACACGAATGTTTTTTTTAAATATAAAAATATCATCGCTACATGCATTTGGAATCAAAGTTAACTCTATGAAGGATCGAACGAATAAATTTTATGTTTACAGTAAGGAGGCAAGTAACTTTAGAGGAATCATTCGCCGTATAAAGTTTTTTTTTCTTGGAACTTTTCCAAGATTTACTCGAATTCTCAATATAAAAAAAATGTAAATTATTAGTCAATAAGTTAATAATTTTGTAACTTCAAGAATAAATCTAATATAAATAAAATGCCTATATGAGCCTCCGCAATTGTTAGAGCATAAATTGTTAGGCATTTTATTGAATTAATAATTAGTATTACTGAAATATCGTTGAAATATAATGTAGCAAAAATAAAATCAGAACAGATTACAATTTTTATTTACATGGATATTTTTTCTATTTAACATATTAGACATTTTTACTAATAGCAAGTAAATATATTTACTCAATGAAAAAAAATTGATAGTTAAATTAAATTAATGAATCTTGTTCTACTATATATAAGATATTTATTCAACTAGACATGACAGTTTTATTTTCAACTTCATTTCTTGAGTACAATGTTTATTAAATAATCGAGTGAATTGAATGATTAAAACGACATATTCTCATTAATATGATGTAATAAGAATTGAAATATCAAAATGATTTCTAATTTATCATGATAAAATCAAAGTTAAAAATGATAGAGAACTTTTTTTCACAATCATTAGTTTATTTTATCTGTACACGAGCGCTTTGTCAAAACTTATTCTCTGCGCGCGCGTGTGTGTGTGTGTGTGTGTGTGTACACATAAAAATGTGTTACATATGTGCAAATAGTACACGTATGATTTATTGATTTGCATCGGCCAAAGTATCAACACTGACTGATCTTACATAAGGTGTGTTCGGAGAAACGCTAGTAGTGCTGTTTGAGTTGTTCAGAAAGTTCGTGCCGACTAAAATTTAAATTTTAGTATACATTTATTAAATTAAAATTTTCTGCGTTTCAATTTTCCTTTAAGATTGGCACGAACTTTCCCAATATTACTCTACCTTTATCGTCCATTAAACGCAAAACAAGGACAGAGTAACACAAATAGCGTGGATAGCGTCATCGCGAACCCATCCATAATGTAGCTTGAAAGCATTTATTTCACAACGATTACCAGTATATTACGAGATGGGAACTGCTGTAACAAACAGTTCTACGCAGCGACTCGTGTCAACGGTATCGCTGCTCTATGTATAGTCAGTTACATTTTACCAGACGTTTACAAAAAGTTATTGGAAAATTTTTAAATAACATTCATTTGTGCCATGGAATATTGGTCGATGTTATTATCGATAGCGATTGGAGTGATCAGCATTCATTATCTTTTTAAAAATTTTAATTTCTTTAAAAGAAATGATATTATACACTTACCGCCTCTTCCATTATTTGGATCTACGATATCGATGGTATTCCGTCGAATATCATTCTTCGATTTCATGCTGAAGATATATAATTGTTATCCAAACGCAAAGTATTTTGGATTCTACTTCACGACAACTCCAGTCTTTCTGCTCCGTGATCTGGAACTCATTAAATCCGTTCTTGTTAAAAATTTCGATGCATTTCCAGATCGTCGTGGTTTCGCCGATTTTAACGATCCTTTATTTGAAAAAAATTTGTTTTCTCTTCATGGAGAAAAATGGCGGAACGTGAGAAATCTGTTGAGTCCTTCTTTTACTTCCAGCAAGATGAAAATGATGTTCACATTGATGTCAGAATGTGCTGTGGATTTTGCCAAATTTCTGTCAACATCAGCAGATAAAGGCGGTATAAACATGAAAGATGTCTGCTCTAAATATACAACCGATGTCATTGCTACATGTGCGTTTGGAATCAAAGTCAACTCTATGAAAGATCCAACAAACAAATTCTATATTTACGGCAAGGAGGCGAGTAACTTCACAGGGGTTCTTCGTGGTATAAAGTTCTTTTTTCTTGAAACATTTCCAAAACTCGGACGAATTCTCAATGTGAAAATTATGAAGAATTATGTTTCGGACTTCTTCAAGGATATTATAAGGACTACAATCGCCACTCGTGACGCAGAACACATTACGCGTCCGGATATGTTGCAGTTGATGATGGATATCAGAGGCAAAGAAGGTCGAAGAGAACTAGACATCGACGACATGACTGCGCAAGCGTTCATCTTCTTCCTCGGCGGTTTCGAGACGACTTCAACTGCAATGTGCTTCGCAGCTCATGAAATTGCAGCTAATCCAGAAGTTCAGACGAAATTACAACAAGAAATCGACAAGGTTTTAGAGGAGTCGAACGGAGAAGTGTCTTACGAAACTATTAATCGGCTCGAATATTTAGATGCGGTGATATGTGAGACTCTTAGATTATATCCACCAGTCGCCATTTTAGAAAGGTTATGTGAAAAAACTTTTGAGTTACCACCTGCATTGCCGGACGAGAAACCTTTTATGATGAAGAAAGGTATGCTTGTTTGGATTCCTGTTCTTGCAATCCATCATGATGAAAAGTATTATGACAATCCGAAGAAATTTGATTCAGAAAGATTTTTAAACAATAAGATGAACAATTCTTCGAATTATATGCCATTTGGATTAGGACCGAGAATGTGTATAGCAAACAGATTTGCCATGTTGGAAGTCAAAGTTTTATTGTTTCATTTATTAGCGCAATGTGAACTGAAACCTTCTGTGAAAACTACGTCACCAATAAAATTCTGTAAAGACTCTCTTCCAAGATTGATGCCGGAGAATGGATTCTGGTTAAATATTCAGCGTAGAAAAAATATTTATTCTATACAGGCATCTACAATAATGGATAGTTAGGTTTCAGAAAATATTTCAAATGAAGTTCTTATAAAAAAATTACAGTTATCATTTCTTTAGTCTTTTAAATTTTATTTTTTATTATCGTTAAATTGACGATTATTATAACGAATCATATTATGTCCAATTTCAATTCATGTTTGTGAATTAAGTTTCGATAAACTACATCAGTGCAATTTATAGAACTGAATAATGCATTTACAAATTTTCAACTGTAATTTACAAATATTAACATTATCAAGAATGAACTGTATTATTTAAATATATAATATTATTAAACATCATTATCAAGATCTTTTTCAAAAATAGGATTCTCTTTTCATTTGATTCATTTTTCTTGATTTAAATTGAACTTATTGAAAAATATTATATTTTAATAAAAATTATTTTTATAGTAGAAATTGCATATGTACTTAATGAACATATTATACATGTTGTACATATTGTGTACATATTGTAGTATTATATAAAATAATAATGAATCAATATATATTAAAATTATTTACTACTAATATTAATAATTAATTAATTAGTTAGTCATTTTGTAATCTCAAAAATAAATCCATTACAAATAAAACTATATGATCCTTTGCAGTTGTTCATGTGTAAATTATATTTATATGACGATGACATAATTCGGTAACAGTGTACTTACCAAGCGAAGTTAACTGTAGGCTGGTAAATTTTACTTTATTAAATTAATAATTAGTATTAGTGAAATATTGTTGAAATATGCCTCGCGACATAAGCCAACTTTACACACATTCACTTAATTGTTCTACATTCATGGATAATTATGCATGTCATCAATATGTGTGTAATATTTAATAATCTAACATATTTGGTCATATCGTGAAATATTTTTAAATTCTTGAAATATCATTTAACAAAAGTAAAATCAGAACAGTAACAATTTCTATTTATTTGTAAGATCGAATTTTTTTTAAATATAATTTTTAATAATTTATTGATGTATTTTTATAAAAATAAACAGAAGAAAACGCGATATCAAGAGCTACAGGATATATATTATTACCCGTCATAATAGCGTGACTTTTCTTAATGTTAGTACTCGCGTGAAGGTCAATTGATTTATGTTTTAATTAATTAATTTTTTTAGTGTAAACCCATTTCTTATTTTTACTTATAAATAATTATAAAGTAAGACGAATAATTATAAAGTAACATGTTATCAGTAGAAAATAATAATTTTTAAAAGCTAGAAATTAGAAGAAAATTATGTTTTAAAATGTATTTCTTTAGGTAATATTTTACCTGTAAATTCATAACTTATTTACTGAAAAGAACTACTATATCTTAATACATATATGTTTTTGAATATCATAAATAAACATTACTTACAGTAAATAAATATTTACTCAATAAAAAAATGCTAGTTAAATTAATTTAATGGTTTTCTTTTAAATAAATACATGAGACATTTTCTTATTGAACAAAGTTTCTTATTTAACAAGTGTTATTTCCAACTTCTTGAATACAATGCTTGTCAAGTAATTGAATGAATTGAATGATTGTCAAAATGATACACTGTAAAAAGTAAAATGTTAATTTTAACATTTTTGCATGTCTCAGAAAATCTACTAAACGTCTTTAAGTAATTTGAAAAAATAAAATTAATATTTTATTTTTTCAAGTGTATAATCTCATCAGTATGTCGTAATAAGAACCAAGGTCAGAATGATTTCTAATTAACCATAATAGATTAAAAGATAAAAATAAAGAAGGGAAATCACAGAATTGTAGAACATAAAGATTATAATAAGATTGTAATAAAAACTATTGATAATAAATATCAACATATATATGTTATCAACAACATATTTTAATTAATAAACTTCTTTGTTGACATACACATGTTACGTAATCTGCTAACGAGTTACACACATATTTATACTTCCATGCAATATACCTACGTGAATTTCAATAACTCTATATATGCCTATGTAAAATTGCATTGTCATTCCATATCATTTGTCATTTCAATACTGATACTGAATTCAACGATTAAGTATTTGTATTAACAATAAAAAGTAAGCATAATCATTTGAGATATTAAATTAAATGTGACGCAATCTTATCGACGTAATCTTAACAAATTTATCTGTGGCATACTTGTTATATACTTGATGCCAATACAATTTGGCAAAGATTTCATGATAATGCCGAAAAATGGATTCTGGTTGAATATTCAGCGTAGAAAAAATATGCATCCTCTATTGGAGTCTATTCTTGTAGTGGATAGTTAAGCCTCAGAAAACATTTGAAATGGTAATAATACAGATATTATAAAAAAATTACAGTTATCAAATTCTTTGAAATATTTCAAAATTCATTTTTATCATTGTTTTTAAATTGATTAATGTGTAAAAATTGATTAATGTGTAATGTTATTTCTAGTTTCATATTTGTCTAGCAATTCATATTTTTGTGATTTAATAGCGATTTTCTCTTAGAATACACTGAGTGTAATCTCGCATTACATCAGTTGCGTGTAAGTGTCAGTGCTGCACTACACAAGTGTACACCATGATGTACACTACTTCATGTTATCGTATTTAATTTTGCTGCTGGTTGATTTCCATTTTCAAATTTTTAATGTCACATTGGCTCTACACCGTCTCTTGAGATCGTGTAGCAAAATGCTACTTCGGGCATAAAATTTGCACTACACTATAGCCACGGAAACACGTTACACTGAATGAGTTTGCCTACTACCAATCAAGGAAACACGCTACACTGTCTGAGTGTTGCACTAGACGATAGTGCAGCCAAGAAAAAACGCTATAAGAATCCGCATCAGCGTGTACTGTATAAAACTAATTAATGTATTTACAAATTTTTTAACTGCGATTTGTAAATATTAAATTATCAAGGATAAACTGTGTTTTTTTACAAATATGAGTATTATTATTACAAAATTATTGTGATCCGTTTCAACCGAAAAATGGATTTTTCCTCTCATTTGATTTATATTCATCGGTCTAAATTCAATTTATTAAAAAAATACATTTTAATAAAAATTACTTTTATAATCGAAATTATATATGCACCTTTATGAACGTATACATATTGTAGTATTGTATGAAATGATAATAAAATCAACATTATATATTAAAATTATTTTTTACAGATATTCATTATTTATTATTATAGTTAATTAATTATTAGTTAATGAGTTAATAGTTTTGTAATTTCAAGAACAAATCTAATATAAAAAAAATCCCTATATGAGCTTCCGTAACTATTAGAATATAAATTATATATTTATAATGAAACATAATTCGCCGACTTACCAAGCGAAGTTAACTGCGCATATACAGACCGGCATTTATCTTATTGAATTAGTTATTAGTATTACTAAAATATTGATGAAACAGTTTAGCAAAAATAAAATCTGAACAGATTGTAGCAATTTCTATTTGTATGATCGAATTTGTTTTTTCCGTGTGCAATATATTTTTATAAGACATTAATATAGATTTTTAAAAATCAATAGAAGAAAAATACGATAAGGAATGCGTATAGGATATTTATTATTTATATTTATTATTAATTTAATATATTAATAATTGTAATTATTTATATTTATTATTAATATTTCTCAATATTTCTATTACTTCTAGTACTTTTAGTATTCTAGTACTTTTAGTATATAATATTTATTATTAGGTATGGGAAAAAGTTCGTGGCGTTTTTCCCGTTAGATGGCATTAAAAAAATACCACGAACTTTTTCCATATCTAATATTATTTCGTGACTTTTTAAAATGTATGAATTCGCGTGATGATTAATTGATATTTTAATTAATTCATTTTTACATGTAAATCAATTTTTTTTATTATTTAATAACTCTATAATAAATAACTATAAACTATATAGACTATATAATAGATAAACTATATAAGACACGTTATCACTAGAAAATAATAATTTTTAAGGATTAAAAATTAGAAGATATCCAGTTTTTAAACTATTTCTTACATAATATTTTTTAATCAGTTAATACTTATATGCTGAAAAGAAATTACTATCATAATGAATATTTTTTTAATTAAGTACACATTTTTACTTACAGTAAGTAAATATATTTACTCAATGGTACTTAAATTAAATTAATGATTCTTGTTCAAACTATATTAAGATATTTACTGAACATACAATAGTTTTGTTTTCAACGTCACTTCTTGCAATGCTTACTAAGTAATCGAGTGAATTGAATGATTGTTAGATGATATATTCGCACTAATATGATGCAATAGGAACCAAGGTCAAAATGATTTATAATTTACTATGATAGAATCAAAGATAAAAATAAAAAATGGGAGAGGACTTTTCGATTCAGTTCACTTTATCTACACACGAGCACTTTGTCAAAACTTAATGGACACTGTATATATGTGTGTGTGTATATATATATATATATATATATAGTATGTATGTATGTATGTGTGCGTGTGCGTGTGTGTGTGTGTGTGTGTGTGTGTGTGTGTGTGTGTGTGTGTGTGTGTGTGTGTGTGTGTGTGTGTGT